GATTGCCCTTCCACTTTGGTTTCCCCTGAAACTAATTAGCTATCTCAAAAATTAAAAGTAGTTTCATTCTACCCTGAACTTACAAATCGCTTAAACATTAAATACTACCTTCTGGCATTTCTTACTCATTTAGTTTTTCAATTGTTTGTTTTGAATCCTAAGAAATAAGCAACTTGAGGGGAGAAACTATGTATGTAAATAATCTATTTACATAAAATTAGCATTCATTTTGTGGTAAGTGGTTTGAATGCACTTAACATCTGTGGGTTACTGGTCAAATTAGTTCAGCCAGCTTGAAGGCCAGGAGTCTGCCAGAGAACCAGAGAATCACCATCATTTAGAAGCAGCTGAAGGCCACAAGTGACCCCAGGGATCGCTACTAGAACAGGCACAATTCAAATGAGTTAGTTCCAGTCTCTACGGACATAACTGTGGCAGGACTAAAGGGCTCGGTTATCCTGAGAACCAAGAAACAGACAAGCAAAGGTGACAAAATCAGCACCCTTCATGCATAGGGCACTGTGTCCATCATCCCAAAATGCAGCCAAACCCAAACAGACAGACCACGTAGATAATCCATTCAAGGCAAAAATGTATCATTAGACACCTTAGAGTATTTATTTTTATATATCCTGTACAGACCAAAAAATTGCCATGACATTTTTCTTCAGATTCTTATTTTTGTAATTGTAAAGCTTCGGTGTCTCAAGTGCTACCTGAAATGACATCAGAAACCACCCTATGGAGCACAATTTCCAGATATGTTTGGTGTTCCGAAAATATGATCAAAGGCTAAGGCTTTGACATCAAACAACACTTGTGAGAATCAAAAGTCTTACCATCATCTTTTCGAAAAGTTCTAAGACTTCATTCTCTGACAGTGGCTTTGGAAGGTGTTCCGTCATCCCTGAACCGCAATCATTGCCTGCAAATGCAGCCTTCAGGTTGGAAAGTGGAGGTCTCTCTTTCTTGCTCCCTGGAATTTTTATGCTGGCAAATTTGTCCAGCTACAGAGAAAGATAAAATGGCACACAATGAGTATTTCCTTCTCAACATTTATCTTATCCTCAAAACGA